TTTAAGGAGTTGCTCCAAGTGCCTATGAACTTTTTATTGCAGTGCTTGTTAGCTTTTGAAGCACTTAGCATGATTTGTGTAAAACCTCTATCAAAATGCTAAGTCTATTCCTTTCAAATTACCAGCTATACAGTATACATGTGTACCTTTTAGTCTTGTGTGCCAGACCAAACCCACTACGTGAGGAAGGGTCTGGATTCATTCCCTACTGACACTATTCTCTTGCAGTCAAGAATGGAAGCTCGTATAAATTAGGTATTTACCAAAAAACAGGAAGTGTCACTTAAGTGTCATAAAACGTATTATGAAATGGCTAGCTGTAGATGTAGCTATTATTATGATGCTTCAGTCAACTCAGCCCTGCTGGAATTTTGAAAGAAATTTGGTTTATCTAGCTTTAAGGAAGAACAAAAGCCAGTACTGTCTTCCTACAAATGAAGGATGTCTTTGTTATTTTACCCACTGGTTATGGAAAAAGCCTTTGCTCTGCTAGCCTGCCATTAGTTTTTGATTTCTTAAAGAAAAGGCAAGGGTCCATTGCAGTTGTTGTCTCACCTCTCATTGCTCTAATGAAAGACCAAGTTCAAAATTTTTTGTGAAAAGGCTTAACTACTGTACGTATTGGTGACTGTGAAGATGAGGACAGCATAATAAAAGGAGAGTACCAGCTTGTTTTTGCATGTCCAGAAACAACCTTAGTTAAGCAGAAGTGGAGACGAATACTAGGACATGATGTATATCAAGAAAGGCTAGAAGCTTTAGTTATAGATGAAGCTCATTGCTTTCAGACATGGTGAGTTTCAGCCTCATGCTGAGGCATGATGTGATTATTTGTAGGGGCAAAGATTTTTGACATGAATATTTATATTTATTACACCTTCGGAGTATAGTACAGTGGCGTATCCAGGGGGGATGCTGAAGGTGCTTGAGCACCCCCCTTATGGCTGGGCTTAGAAAAAATTACTGAAGTTCTGAACTCTTGCATCACTACCAAGCCTCTTATTAACGTTATCTACCACCCTGATTATGATTTCAGCAGTTCCCAGTCCTTCAAAGAGTGATCAAAAGTACTAGTATGCGAGCTAGTATGCTTCAAATCATAGAAATGATCTTGACCCCACCAGTTATTGATGAAAAATAAAGAAAAACGCCGTTTTAAGTAACCCCTAAAAGTGGGTGTGGCCAAAATTGCATCACGCTTCGCGTCTTTAAATTCCATCTCCCACTGCATTCTGTACCCCAGAACCCCCCTTTCCAAATTCCTAGATACGCCCCTGTAGTACCTGAGGTTCACATTATGGCACTTACTGCCACTGCATCTGACACACTAGTGTCTCACGTCATACATGATACTGGTATGGCAAGATCAGAAATAGTGTTTTTCTCCTAATAAGGAAAATCTTCGCTTTGGAGTCCAAGAAATATTGTCAATGCATGAAATATTTACTCGCCTCATCCAGTCATTAATGTTAAAAAGAACCAACTTGATAGGAACAATCATTTTTTGTCAGCAGCAGTTGCATTCTGGGCAGTTGTATTAGCTGTTTCATACTCAATTGTCTGATGATCTACTAGATCCAAATGAATCTCCTCCTTCTATGTTGCAAAACAGTTTAGTAGATGTATTTTGTAAAGGTACAAAGGATTTAGTGAAAAACAATATTGTCTCTCAAATCACTAAATCTGACTCCAAACTCAGAGTACTAATATGCACTGCTGCTTTTGGGATTGCAGTAGATTGTGCTGGTGTTGAAAGGGCAAATTGATTGGGGTCCACCTAATGATGTTGAAACTTATATTCAACAAACTGGTCGATGTGGCAGGAGTGGTCAAAAGTCACAGTGCATATTACTTTTTGGTAAAGGACTGAAACGATCTGTTGAGCTAGTTTATTGTCAAAATAAGACGAAATGTAGAAGAAAGGTACTATTCCAAGATTTTCATACTTATACCAAAAATAATCAATATGCGTGTTGTGATGATTGTTCTCTAATTAATGTGTGAATGTCATACTGCTTCCAGCAGCATGCAATTGTGTGATTAATTATTGTGCATTAATCTTTTTACAAAATAAGAAAAGTTCTATATTTTGTTTTAGTCAAGACTTAAGTTTTTTAGTTACCAATTTACATCCTAAGTATAATCTTTCAACAAGTAAAGTTAGCCAATCTTTAACCTCTTCAAATTTCATAGATCTAGCAGGGTTACATTCATATTTAGCAAAGGAGAGGTACATTCTTCCAGAAACATCAGCAAAAATACATGCTTTTGCAAGCTCCTGCATTATCAATTCCTGATATTTTTTACCAGATGCAATTGTATGTGCATTAAAAGTAAGCCCACATCCATGCTGACTATTTTAACTTTGCAAAATGTGTTCTAAAGGCCCTATACAATTACTGTAGCAAATTATTACCTTTTCAGTCTTATTTGCACCAAGATGTCATACACATTTGTTGCATACTCTATTAAGATGCTGCATATGGAGATCACAATGTATATTATTACGAGGAATACCTTTTCCATGTGTCTTAACAAATCTAGACCATATCACTTGGTGTGACTGTCTAGGAGGTAGTAGTTTTATATTAGCTTGGGTGAGAACCCCTTCTATAGCATAGTTCCTTCTTTTTGTTGCTTTAAATAGCAATAGCATGTACTTCCATGATAATATGACTCTCGGTCTATCTCCCTCTATGATGGAATCCCTATAATGCATATATAAAAGGCCAAGTGATACTACATCACGGGAATATTCTAGCATTGAATTTCTCTTATCATCTTGAAAAGTAAGGGACAGGTCCACCATTTTGTCAACTATAATCTTAGAAACATCGAGTGAAATATCTTTTAGCTCATCATTAGATTTCAGCCATAAGTCTTCAGGAATCTCATTACAAGAAGGTACTTCCTTAGGGTACTTTTGGATGAAATTTTAATATTTTTTTAATTGCTGCCATTTGATAGTAAAGAAAAAGTTGTACAATTTTGCTATTTTTAAAATTTTACCATGCACTGTTTAGAAGTTATAGATCATTGAACTTCAAATATTCAAAAAATTGCTGCATAACTTTTCATAATTTATACGCCATTTTTGATTTTGTGTCATTTCTGGATATCTCTGTATATTATAAAACTGGCAGGAAATATTAATTGCAAGGTAGGGTTAAGATATGACGTCATATTAGTCAAACCATTAATAAAAATGGCCACCAGTATGTATTTCCTGACTATTGTTTATTTAGCTGTTTCATCTGGTGAATGCAGGCTCTACAAAGCTCTAAAGCTTGCAATCGTGGCATAATGAAGGCAAACACTCCATCAAGTTTGTATGCAGTAAATGCTTTTGTGATACACTGATATTTGGAAATCAACAAAACTTTATGAGATATTGCAGCCCATTTTGCAAAACTTAAAAGACTTTTGCCAAGTGATGCAACATACGTCAATAGAAAATAATATTATAAACACAATGATATTACTAAAAATTAAAGTACTCTCATCCTGTTCAAGAATTCTTTACTCAGTTTTCATCCATTTTACAAAGTTTAGTAAGAGTTATTGCATCTCATTATTGAGAAAAAAATTCAAAATATTATATATTGTAGAAAAAGTATATAGAAAACAATTTGTGTCCCAAAATCTAAATTGTGCGTTCAGCCCGTTGTACCTAAATAGCTGTCATGGCAAAAAAATGCATGGCTGCATTAACAATACTACAAGTAACGACAATCAGAAAATCTTCACAGCCACAAAATTTTTATTTGGCTCATTAGGAACATTTCTCCTATTAATTGCATTCTGGATTTTGCATTAAGTTCCTCATTCCCTACTGGAGTTTTCATGACGTAATCTTACCAAAGCAGCCTTAAGAAAAATAACTTGAGAATGCCATTCCTCTGCCACGCCAAAAAGGCCTTCTAATCCTTTTGATGTAGTATTAGAATTCCCTCTTATTATTTTGTTCCCTTGATACCTGGCCACAGATAACTGATCTCCAACACATAATGGACAAAGTTGCTGTTCCTCTTCTGCAACTTCTTTTCCTTCAAATTGAACCTTTTTCACATGCACAGTCATAGGCACATATTTATGTAAATCTTCCATTATTAAAACGATATCTTCATACTTTGATTCATTTTCTAATTGCACACCAAGAGGCACCTGCAATGAGCAATAGATTATAAACATTAAAATGTAATCTAACAATTTAGGACAGTTGAGATATTTCTTTGGAGTATTTGTGACTAATGTGGTTAACTACCACTTTAGAAAAATTCTTTTAAAAAATGCCATGTTACTACATAAGATACGTGACACTAATATGACAAAAGATTTCAACTAATCATAACGTCCTTCAAACTTACAGTGCCTCACTGTAAAAGCAGCAGATTTCACTTTTCCGAAAGAACCTCTGGCAGCCTGAATAGAATTAAACACTGGTGTTTGTGATTGTCATTATTCACTTTAGTGCGATGTAACTCTTGATGAATTCTTTCCATTTACTCAGCAATTGCAGTCTTTCACGGTAAAGTACTATCACTCTTAGTTGAACCTGAATTTCCTAGCGAAGGACAGGAGTTGTGATGGACCCATTTAGGAAAGTTTATTGGCAACTGTACTGGAGATGACATGAGACATTTCTTATGATTTACAACTGCAAGTTACTGATTGCAGTTTCACATATTACATTAACTTTTAACAATCTTCATGGTTTGGCTTGTAAGCCCATTGCCCATACATGCAGTGCTACTTTAGATTTATCAAGCACCTTTTCTACATTTTGCTAACTTCAGTGTAGAATTTAACGCTATTCTCAATTGTATGTCATGAGACTGTGATGCCTTAAATATGGATGCCATTTAAACTGATGAATTAGTCTTGTTTTATTAAAAAATGATATTTTTTTCATTATTTCAAATAGTTCAAGGTGATTGTTACTGAGTCTGTGTATCAGACAAGAGTTCTAGTCCAAATAGGTATAGGTCTATCACATAATTGTCACTTTCTTGAAGTGCATCTACGTATTACTAAGCTCCAGCAGTTGCTAATTTCAGAGTCTGATTCTTGTTACTGGGACTGTCACAATGGCTCCTTCCCTAAAAACTTCAACAAGCTCAGTACCATATGATTCATCAACTGTCAAAGTAGTCTACAAACATTTGATAGGTGATTGGTTGTTTTCAGTTCTGTTTGCATGATGGTTCCAACCATTTTGAAAGAAGAGTAGAGTGTGATTTATTCTAGGAATAAAAATGTAAAGCAGTGCAAAAATATGCACTTCATTAAGTGGGTTTAATAAATCCTGGTGTACCATAAATTAAAATGGTTACGGTACATGAAAGTGACACATTTTTTCATATCAACCCAGAATCTTTCAATTATCTGATTGTGTGTCGAACTCCCACTCAACATACTGTTTCTACCCTCTCCTCTTGACTTAGCATTTGACGTGGCACTAGATAATTTTCAATCCTCAAAGTAAGAATGAACTCGTGACGGTAACCTAAATTGAGTAACAGCATTTGTAAATAACTCTAAAACAATAGATGCCTGATTATTATTAGAACACTTAAGATAGATTATTATCAATCCCTCCATGAATTACCAGTCTCTAGTGAATAAATTTAAGGTTACCATCTGTAAAAGGATAAGTCTTAATTAAAACACATGCAAACAGGAAATTAATGTGACAATTGTATATAGTTAATTGCTTATACCCATGTAGCAATGAATTTGAAATTTAACTAGCTGAACCTATTAATCTTAGTGTATCTGAATTTGCCAAAATTCGACTTTCCAAGTTTTTAGCATGAAAAAATAATTAGTGCATAATTACTGATCAATGCATACCTATGTGCCATAATGAATTGGGGCCAGGAACGCTATAGGGTCTTCGATAAAGAACTTGTACCCATCTCAATGCTGTATTTAAGATATCCTTAATCCTCTCTCTTGTCACTCGGTATCCAAGTGTCTCACTTCGCCCAACACAAATGATTGCATAACATATGGGTACTGCTGAACAATTTAATTTAACAGCAACTAGCAAATTAGCACCATTTGACAACCTATTTGGCTAAAATAAGTTGGATTCAACTCATCTACGATATATTGTCATTCTAGATACCAACAGAAATGCACTATCATTGTCCATGAGAATGAAAGTGAACGTAAATGTAATGAATGATCATCAAAAACCTTGAATGGCCAAGGTCATGTGTACAATAAATAGGAGTAACATAATGGCTTCTTAATGATCCAACACTGTCAAGGTAGCTCCTCCACAAATAAATGATGTCATGCATACTCTGCAATAGACCAGATAAGTGCATTTCAATATTCTGAAGACCAGGTTGGTAGTGAATACTGGCAGTGATGGACTGCTGGAACTCATATGCAAGTGATAACCTGTCAACTGTATACTCAGCATATTGTGTACTAGTCACACCATACTACCTTTCACTGCTAGCAATAAGAGAAGAGACTTGGTGAAAAAATCTTACCAAGTTCGACATTGTTATTTAATAATAGCTTGAAAGGTGTGACTTAGAAAAAGCAGTTCTGCCTTATTGAGTTACGCCCCTACTTTATGACGCAAACATGAGTTTTACCAGCTAAAACTCACTTTTCTGCACAAAAATTAGCAAATTTTAATACCACAATTAATCATAAAGCTTTTTCACAAAACTAGAGTTTATAAATTGTAACTGGTAAAGAAAAGCACATAATTGTTCTTCAAATTACCTAAGTACTGGCTTAGCATATATGGGTGCAAGTCAACACAACTGCTACGAAAAGTGCCATTTTACCAAGGATTTTTGGTCATCGGCACAAACAATCTTTCTGATACACTGGCAGAGAAAGTCATAGCAGATGATGAGAATGATTTAGATGATCAAAACTCGGCTGATTACGACAATAATTATAATATCTTTGTAGCCACAAATATCTCCATTAATCGCTATCTTTCATATAAATTAATACTGCTGTTTGTACTTATCACGTTTCTGTAGCTGTAGCAAGTTGTACAGCTGTAATTTAATAGAAGACACAAGATCGTATAACAAAAGGTTCAAACATTATGTTAATGACTCAATAATAATAAGAATCAATAAATCAACTTGTAATTTCTGTAAAATAGGGTACTATTGGCAAGAGTTAACTACATGCATAAATAATTCCTGTAATAATTTTTAACCTAAAACTACCAAAGGCAAAAAGTAAAAGGGAAAAGAAGAGTGAAGGTGAAAGGTAATAGAAAAGGGTGGTGATAGCTTTATTTGGCACCAATGAGAATTAAATGAAAAGTTCCTTAAGCATGAAGAAAAATCCAGAAGTAGGGAAAAAAAAGTTAGAATTGGCAAAAAATAGAAGACCATTAACATGTGATGACTTTTTCATTCAAGTAACTGGTAATTTTAGAAACCACCTCATTGTATATCTCCACATGACTATAAATATTAAGTTCTGATTAGCAACAGCAATCAAATGAGTACATAATCCACATGATACTTTATTATAAATAGTATGTGTATAAAATGCCTTTGTGTGTAGTATGACGTACTAACATACTTTAAGATTAAAATTAAATAATTTGTGATACTAATGCTTTCACAACTATTGTTGTTTATTGTGTGTGTGTGCATAGTACTATTCCAGCTGTTCAGTGCCACATCTTCGAGCCAGTCAATATTAAAGGAATCGCCACAAAGTTCACAAATATTGTGTAGCAAAACGTAACTAATTCAGGTACATGGTCCATGTTCAAATCTAGACTTTTCAGGAGATTCGCCACCTAGCCTTCAATTGTCCATATGTGTCATTTCATGTTGCATCACCAGTTTATATTTCAACCTGGAGGAGACGGCTTTTGCCAGCTGGGATTAGTCAACTTCCCTCCTGATCTATGCCGCTACTCTGATTGCCTAATTTAAAAAGATGTTTTTACCATAAAGATAAATTGTTAGAGTCGTCCTTCTTCGCATTTTGTTATAAATATTAGAATTAGAGAACAATATAGCATCATGAACTTTTCCTGGTCGACCAACATTAACATCTACAAACATGCCAACGTTGTTTACAGTGTTCTGGAGTATGACTAAAAGCTATCTTTTACGGTTATAATAAATAGTAGTGAACTCATTTGACAACATAATTGATATATACAGTCAATCAATGGCTCCAACGCATTGAGCAAATCCATTTTTGCTTTCGAAGCTCTTTACTCTCTGCAATTGATCACATTGAGGAAAAGTCATATATTTGGGTCGCAACACTTTGCTGACAGCATGGCAGACTTCTCGTTCAATGACACAAAGTAATGATTTAGATACTCCAAAAACATGACTGATTGTATGTCACTCACAGTAGACAGAAACCATATCATCACTTAAACTCTCTAAATAACCTTATGTGCCTTTGTCATCACTGTATCTCTTTACTGCACAACTAACAGAACTTTGTGCAGCATACATCACAGTTTTCAATCCAGTCATTTTCAGAAAAACAATCATGACAATCTCATCCCAACAAAGTCCTTTGACCAAATCACTTACCCAGTTATTATTGTGCAGTAGTAAGTATCAGAGCAAACAGCATTCCCTCTCTGGCTTGCTTGGCAGCCAATAATCTGACCACATCATGTATTAACCCTCCTCCATTCAGTTAAAGCAGCACGTTTCTTTGCTAAAATGTGTCTCTTAAAAAGCACAGCTAAAATCAATGCTTTTCTCGTTGGACTCACCGCGTAGGCAAGTATTAAGTACTTCGGTGTCTGTCTGTGATCATGAATTTTAATTAGATTTTTTAAAACAAAATTGAATTAAAAAATGAGTGCTTTTGACACATAGATCTTTCTCTATAGCTACTCCAAGCCTTCATTTATCAGTTTAAAATGTTTAAGTACAAAGAAAAAACTTAATCTTCAAAAGTCACATGTAGTAACTGGCCATTACTGTCTATGAGGCCACACCTACCTTTCATTTAATATCATTAACCTAGTTCACATGAGCGCTAGGAGACAATTAATTATTATTCATAGATCACAGTTGCATGCAGCCTTATTGTGATTCTCCCAGTTTCTTTGCAATTTGTGCTTGTTTTATGAGTTTTTTGTTTAGTTTATATTCAGTGATGAATGCAAGGCAGCCATTTGTGATGATTCTCACTCAGCTGGATCACTGTATGTAGCTACAAGCCTACATGACAAAGAAAGATTTCTGACTTTTTAATATAATATTGATGTATTTAACAACCTCAATTCTATAATAATTAAAATTAATGTATCATTCTTAATTTTAAAAAATTTTGCTACATGCATTTACCATTTTATTTGCTATGGATACTAGCTACTTTAGATCATGTGACTACAGTAAAAGGTATAGAAAAAGCTTATAATAGATATACATAATAGATATAGGTGAGAAAATGCTTTTTTTTAAGAAGAATTATAATAGTGTCTCTCTTTCTATTTAGTACGAACTACATGTATGAATATGAAGGCCCAAGTTATGTAAAACTTGTCTTCTGGTCATGAGGGACTAACTT